GAACTTATTTAAATTCTATTTTTCAAATTTTTTTTTATATATCAAAATCAGAGATGTCCTCTTTCCCTATTTAACAGTTTAATATATAACCAAATTAATAAATATTTGTGGTTCATATAGGTACATTAATTTGTGGTTCATGTACGAGAAAGTAAGTCTGGGCAATCTCTGCGTCGATGGGTGGAGATCGTATGCGGGACCGTGTTCCGTGAGGGGATCGACAGTCTTCCTGCCTTTATGGGCTCAAACTTGTAAAGTATGGCCAAAAATAGATACGACAAGAATATTTCTGTCTCGTTCCCCACGTTGTACCCATGCCCCTAACTAATTATAAAGTAATAAAATCTGTTACAATCTCATATTCTTTTATTTGGATAATCAAATTCCAAGTCAGCTCTCTTTGGATAAAGCTTCATACACCAATTTATTAAAGTAAATATTTATATATGATAAATTGAGATTATTAACTCAACATTTGAGAGTTTTAAGTTTAAGATAAGGTTAATATATAACATATCACATGATTAATTTTACAACATATTGTTCATACACATTTATTATGTTTCATTCAGTTCAATACACTTTTACTATATTTCTATTCAATTGAATAACTATTTTATAACAATTTGCATTTTTTTTCTTTGTTCTTTAAGCAATTTATTATTTACTAAATATCTTTTGTGTTTACGATTAGTTTCTTTTTTTTTTCCACCATGAGAGGAAACATGGGGAAAATGATAATAATATCTCAACAATATTAACAAGAGGCAAGAAATGTGCATATGGATTGTTGATTAGCTGGTAATATTTATATTAAAAATAAATTTATTATTTATTCTGTTTATCAATATTGACTTAATTTATTGACTGAATTGCTTTTGATTCAATAACTAAGTAATATTTATATTAAAAATAAATTTATTATTTATCTTGTTTATCAATATTGACTTAATTTATTGATTGAGTTGTATTTGATTCAATAATTAAGTATATATATTTTACTCTTCAAAGAGTTAAATTCAAATATTTCATTTCTCAAATCAGACAAAAGGTAATTGGATCACGTTACTTAAAATTATAACCTTTTTCATTCCTTTATAAGACGTGTAAATGAAGTTTAAAATTAATTAATAATTTATTTAATTAAATTATGTAATTAATCTCTATACTCTGATAAAAAAATAATAGATTTAATTTTTATGTAATAATTTATAAAAATTAAGTTCATCTACATTCTAAAATTGACAATATCAATTTAATTATTATTGGCGTTAAAATTTTTAATTATTTATGTTAAAATAGTATTTGAATATACTAACGTGACATATTCTTACTGAAGTGGTATTAAATCTTATAACATGACATTCAAGAATAATGATGCAATGATTATGTTAATATGACATTAATCAAACAGATCCATAAAATTTTAAATAATAATATAATATTGTTGTGTTGTTGACGTGATATTTTACAATTTATACGTCATTTTTTATAACGATTAAGCATTGTGTGAACATTTGAGAGTGTTTCTAAAAAATCTAAAATCATCTGATGGAAAATAGAGGACGCATCTGACCAGATCAAAATATACCTTGAATGAAAGTCTTCTTATAAATTAATTTTCAGGGAAAGAGAGCTATGAAATGAGGATTATGAAAACTCTATGATTTGGTTACAGTTTTATTTAAAAACTCTTTATGAGGCATCTTGTTGGATGGCAACTAGTAACAGAATCTTACATTATTTGGGATTAAACAAAAATAAATCCTAAGCCTTTATGTTTCAAAGAATTGATTTCTAGGTCAATAATATCAATAGTAGAATATTATTTTATTTGACCCATTCATCCTTTTCATTTTTATTTGGGACGCATCATCTATTTGTTAACTACTCTGAAAAGCCTAGAAACTTGGATATCGAATCTACAAATATGTTTCTTCATATTAAACATGATTTGAGGGATCTAATTGGAATATTTGACTCGGTAATAATCTTAAAAAATAACCCTTTTTGACTTAAAAAATAAAGAAGAAGCAAAACTACTTAATTATAGTCATAGGATTAACCTATAGTTTATTTTTTATTAGTATTTAACAAATGTTACCTCTCTAGGTAATCAAACCTAGAGTGTGAAGGTTCATGTACCATTCAAATCCGATAAGATTAAACAGTTGTTTATAAATTTTATTAAAGTTTCATTTTCATCTATGATTATCTATATATATACAAAAAAAATTATTAATCCTTATCGTTCAGGACAAATTCATCCTTCCATTAATCGTCCGTTACAGACGTGTAATATTTGAACACATAAAATTCATTTTTTTAGTCTAAAAAATTTAATTAAAAAAGGTTTCGATAATAAATTTGAGGGTTTTTTTTAAATTTATGGATTAAAAATAAATTTTCTTTTTCAAAAAAGTTCAATGAGTATACAGGAACTTAATTTACTTATTGAAATCAATTACCCCAAGCTTTACCATTACGTGTTTCTCTTTTTATCAGTTACTTCAAACATATATACTTAAAAAACTGATAAGTATGAAGAAACACCGAATAAACAATTATCAATTGGCAATCCTCTTTCGTTATAAACATCACCATCAACTAGAAATGTATTGTTTAGTTACAATAATCACGAATCGATTCTTTGAGGATGCTCTACAGCCTCATCAGATTTTTCAAATATAAAACCAGTCGATGCTCATAGTTTGCTGAAACTTTGGTCAAATGTATTATTATGTGATTGATTGTAATTTGCTTACACTTATTTAAATGGACTTTATGGATTTGATCTTGCTGCAAGTAGCCTTCCCCTGGGATTTTGGGAGGCTACCAATTTGTCGTGAGCATGCAATTTTAGTCAAACATAATTTTCTTACAAGAACAAAATAATCCAAAGCAATTGAATTATTTACAACATACACGGCATGCGATTATTTGGAACATGACATCGTTAAGTGGAAAAAAAAAGTGATTTAAAATGAAACGTAAATTTGCACGTCTTAAATTCAATTTTTTATTCAAAATAATGATTTAAAATCAAACTGCGTATATATATCTCGTTATTATCTAGAACAAAACGTATCATATTTTAAACATGATTGTTTCTAGAAAAAGAAAATTTGATATGAATTTTTTTTTAATTGATTCCACATACTCTATGGAAAAGGACTTGGAGAAAGATATCGATGGCAAAATCTTTTGCTAAATGGAACTTTGACAACTGGGGAATTAAGGGTTTTGGCTTGATGCCATGATATGTATTTGGTAGAAGAAAATGTGTATTTAGAACCTGCTTCACTGGTGGGAATACTTTTAAAAGCCTTAAGAAACGTGCAGATTCTTTAGAAAAAAAATGAAGTGAAAGTGCTGATAGTTCTTAATATGTTAAGATGCTAAAATTGACTTGATGAAGTATTCTTTTTCAGATATAATCTGATTAGGAGCTTAAACAATGATTGTGATCTTCTGGTATTGCTCAGCATATTAATGGCTAGGTCTCAGATTCTTGAGAAAAAATTATTTTGGATTAGCTGTCAAAGGAGATTAAGTAAAAGACTGTTCAAAGATTTGAACTAATCAATCCCTTAACCTAATGCATGTGCTCGCTTGAAGAACAGCTCAAATTGCGATTAAACTTTCTAGTTAAAACCATCCCTTTTGTTCTACTTCATGTGCATGGAAACTAAGATATCAATGATCATATTAAGTTCGAACAATCATCAAAATTTCAAACTCAAAAGCAAAAAGGAAGACAACTTGCTAGTATTCCAAGGGATATAGCTGCATGCTTACTGAAATGTGGAGGTTAGTGGAACTGAGATATAATCAGTTCATTCAGTCAATGCAAACTTTTCTCATTTAGAGATCAGTACTAAAGCATAGCATGCTTTTTATTCTTTCCCATGTCCTTTCTAGCTAAGAAGGTCAATGCCAGTGGCTCAACGGCATCTTTGCATTCTTTTCTCTCCCACAAATCCTAATGGGGTACATTGTTTGAATATTCTGTGGAAATAACAAGCAGAAACAAAGACAAAAATCTGTGTCATTGAGGACCAGAAAGCAATCCCTTGGAATTAACAGTTATTTGCCCACTTGCATATTTCAAAAGTTGTGTTCTCACTTCTAACCCTTAACTTCTGTTTGAATTTCGTTCCCATTATTGAAACTTGATTGCAAGAGTTGTACACTTTGGGTATTTGCTCTTCGGATATGTGTACCACCTTGACAGATGAACAGGCTCTGAAGTCAAACCACGTGGGTAGAGACTCGAGCTGTCCAAGTAGAGATCTTGTATAGGACGAGAAAAACCTACAAATTGAATAATAACCCTATTTATATCCCCAACACCTCAGCGTTTCTCATAAACAAAATCACATCATCATGATGTAAGGAGCCAGGTAAGACCAGATTTGTATTTGTTGCACCTCTTGCATCATCTACTTGGAAAAGAAAACTCTCAGTGCGCCATTTTCTTCTCTTACTTTAAACAGTCAACAGCCCAGAGTCTTGGGCAACAATCATATTCTACTGGTTGCTTCTCCGAAGGGATAAAGCAACATATATTGTACATCAAGGAAGAGTGAAAGTGGAGAAAGCAAGTCAAGCTCGCCGATTTATATTGTGCTCATTTTCTTCAGCAAGCAATATACAAGTCAATGTGTTTACACAAAGAACCCCACGTGTGTACTTTTGTCGTTCAATGAAGTACACCCAATCCTCCAAGTTGAAAAGTTGGGAGGTAGAGAGTACTATTTCATGATTATAAAATTAATTAATAGATTGGCATTCAAAATGGGTTTGCCCCTAACCGTTTGAATTTTGATATTGAGTCATAAATTTCCAGCAAATCTTCTAGGCTTCTGACCCTCTTTATAATGGCTTTGGACCAGTTTAGCTGTGGTCCTGTGATGAGGGGAAAATACATGGAAACAAGCCAGGAACTTTCAAAGTCTCAGAGTTTCATTTGACCCCACAAGTGGCCACATTTTGCGCCATTTTGATGACTACGGAAATGCATTCATGTAGCAAGAAATAAGTGAACAGGTTCTCTAATTAAGTAAAGTTGCATACGTCAATCCTACCATTCACCGAAGTTCAAGCAAATCCTACATGATTGATAGACAAAACGAGTACCTAGCATACAGTTCAGACCTAAAAGTTCAAAGAGTATACTGAAAACACTTAATAGCGGTCAAAGGAAGAAGGGCGTCCTCCCCTGCCTGGACGATCATAAGGACCGCCCCTGTTCCTGTAGCTTCTTCCATCATTGCGTGCTGGCCCTCCACTTCCATACCTATCACCACCTCTTGAAGCAACATCACGAAAGGCTCTCTCTTTGCCATAACCATTTTGAGGAAAATGATCTGAACCACCATAACGATCACCAAATCGATCTCCACTAGGGGGATACCTGTATTGTTCACGGTAGTCATTAGAATGTCTTAAGGAAAGCAAATATGGATTCTGCATGAATAGGAGTTGGGTTTCAAGGATAAGGATTTATATAATGTCATAACATCATACTAAGTATCTTTCAAAGATTATGTTAAATTTGTCCAACGGCGATAAGATTACCCAAAAAACAAAGGAAAACTGAGAAATGAAAGATGCTGTAAAAAATGGCTAGAGAATTATTGGCACGCTGCATTAACATCAAGTAAAACCTTATACCTGTCACCAATATACCGATCGCGGCTTCCATACCTATCATCTCTGCTGTCAAAACGGTCCCTATCCCCATAGCGTCCACCATCATAACGGTCATCAACATACCGATCACGATCTCTGAAGCGATCGCCACGGTCATCAGCCCCTCCATACCTTGAACGTGAAGAAAACATGCCACCACTCCCACCTCGGCCACCACCACCAGCTGAAGGGCAATCTCGGGCCCAATGCCCAAAGCGTCCACATTTGAAGCATTCATCCTGTCCTACAGGCCTGTCTCCACCTGCATAGCCTCCCCTGCCACTTGATGAGTAACCTCTATAGCCATGGTCAAGATCTTCACCCATTTTAGGTTGAGCCTTGTTCACTGATATTATGCGTTCTCCAAACTCCCGTCCATGCATCTCCCTGATAGCTTCATCCATGGACCGACGATCTGCAAATGTAATAAATCCAAATCCACGTGGACGCCTTGTATCTCTTTCCAACATGATCTACACGCACACAGACACAAGAAGCTAATGGCAAACAACAGAGAAAATCTAAAGCAAGTAATAGTACCTGTAAAGCAAGTAATAGTACATGTATAGCATACATTAGCATTTTCTCATAGAAGAAACAAATCAGTAACAGGCCTTAATGGTACACTAAGGGGTAGAAGAAAATAACAAGCATAGAATACACTAAAGATAAGATTATTAGTAGTAGAACAAAAGTCTTTATGCTTTTGACGAAATCATGCTACACAGCTTGAGACATTTAATATATTTGAACATTGCTCTAGACAATAATATGTCTGAACTATCATGCTTCTATCACTTATAGCACCAGATAGTCTTCAAATTAAATTTTAAAAGGAAAAAAAGGGGTGGGAGGGGGGGATGGTGTTATCTGGAAAATTGTAATATTCATTAAAACAAAATACATTTACAGTAAAAATTAACCAACTTCAACTATGTAAAGGAATTAAATGGACTTCAAAACCACGGTCTACACAAATAGTACTAAAAATAGGGAAATAAAGAATGAAACATAACTTACTTTCTCCTTGTTATAGTAAGGCATCGATATGTGTTTGATATTGGAAAGATTCTTAAAACAAAACAGAAGATACTGCACATTTTTCCTTTTTCTGATCTGATAAAGTAGGAGAACTCTGACCTGATCTCATTTCCCAAAGAATCTGACATTACAGTTTATGGATACGTTATCATAATCCCCATACAGTCAAACAAATGGTTTTCTTTCCGATTTTCTTTTTCTCTCTTCCTCTCTTTATGATACAAACTGGACATCCTGATTAAACCAGTAATCAGTGCTAGTATTTCTTTCAAAGATGGTTACATTCCCAATGGTAAGTGTTAACAAACAATAGACAGGTTTCCATGTTGGGCCAAAATCAAATCTTTTCCAAGCCAAAAAACTTCCCATATCAACTGGCTTTTCTGCAATCTATTATTGACATAAGAAGCAGATACAACATCATCAGGCCTCATCACAGTTTTCTTCAATTTGGAAACCAAGCCCAAAAACTAGCTGCTTCTAGGATTGGCTAATCCAGTCAGCAGGGAGACCAAAAAGGATCTATCAGAGGTCATAGTAGCAGAACTTATCAAAATCAAGAGAACAATCGTCCCGCTCATCAACCACGACTTGTTAACAAAATGCATTTCCTGATGAAGTTAGATTACGCTTGCAAGCATAAGCTACCCTAAAATAGCATACTTCTCATATCCACATGCCATCAGCTTAGGATAAGAAATCTAAAAGCTGGTTCAGCTGGCCGCCACAAATATTGAGTGCAATATCTTATAACTTCAGCAGTTTGGGTTGCACAAGTAGATAACTTGAAAAAGCTCTTGTTATCAATTCTGAAGGAGATAATGCAGTCACGGCAATGCTATAAGCACCCAACTTAGTGCTACAGAGTAGTGCAGAATCTATTATCTTCCATACAGATGCAGTCCTAGTAAAAGAACATGGTCGGATCTCACATTAAAAACAATTTCTAGTTCCTGAGGCTTCCATCAGAGGCAAGAGCGAAAAAACAACTAATTGGGGTGTGCTAATCAATTCACTGAACATGGTCCACGCATGAAAATGTAAAATTTGAGTTCACTATACAGATATTCAGGGATTAGTCTTAGACTGATCTGAAATTCACTTTCACTAGTTTGCAACATTAGACAAGAGGAAAGATTAACACAACTGCATCAATACTCCAAAGGAAATGGTGAAACTTATCCTGAACATGTTCACTACTAATCCAGCACTGACCGCATTTCTAAACTGAGTCAATTGAGAAATTCAAAGCAAAATCAAAAGAGAAATCTCGACAGGATTAGGCCGAAAAGCTGGATCTTGGACCTTGGGCTCACCACATCAGCAGAAACAAGGATGTCAATCCCATCCAAAAGCAGGAAACTTTGGCCCCAGGAAAAACTGCATAATCATGCATGAGTATACACAAAACTGTTTTGCATCTTTGCCATCATTTGAAAAATAATGGCCCAGAAAACTTTATGCTAGAGAGTAGAGACAAAGTTGGCACACAAGGACACTCCATAACTAAAAAGGTCAGGCACATAAGATTTGTATAAGGTAAGGTGCCTCAAATACTTCTGGACTAAGAAATGTCTACAAATGCTTCGTATACCCTACAAAAGTAAAATTTATCTTGACAACCCTCTGGGTCCTCTTGGAAGGCAAATTGACACTGATCATTACTCGTTTGTTTCCATGATGAACAAGGACGTTAGTCTTGCAGTAAATTTTTCAGAAACCAACTCCACGAAATCTTCATTTAGATGCTTTAGCACAAACAGCCACTTAAGAAACAAGGAATATTCTTTAGGCAGTCTCAACAATCATTTTAGGCTCTCCAAATTTCAAGCACGAGAAAAGTAAATATCACAAATAAAGTAAAAAATATGGCTTGTGGCTTCAGCCAAAGATCCTTTAATCCAAATAAAACACTTTCTCCATGACATAGTTTAAAAGAATCAGTTTTAACTTCAGCTCCCTTCCATGAACCATACCCCTTAAGTTTAAATGAATTCTTTGCTCTTGAACATTAGAAACAGAGATGACTATGCACTTCAACAACTTGAGGCAGTCACTCTGACCAAAAACACTTCTTAAAAAACCCATCCACAGCATGTCAAAACGTTTTTACCAGCATTCCAACAAGACAAGAAACAAGAAAGAAAAATTAATATGATGAAGAAAAGAGAAACAAAAGCAAACCAAACATATTATTTATAACCCAATATCACATAAGCTGGTAGAAAAGGTTTGAATATTGATGTCTACAAGCAGATATAAAGGCATAGATAATCCACTTGTTATGGTGGCATGATTAAAGCATAATGGAGAATTTAACATAATAACCTTTATCCAGAAAAATAGGCAACATATTATTCGTAAACACAGAAAAATTACATGATATTGTCAAACAAATGTCAATAATGTCTCAATATAGGTTTCACTTCCTAACGATCTGGCCCAATATTTTGCCTTTCGTTATTTAAAAAATAATCCTTTTAATGCTTCGGATTATCCAGGAATAATATTCAAATAACCAAGTATGGCAAAGGACAAGTGTAAAATTCAAATGGATTTTAAAATCTTGTGCTAGTGAAAGTTTTCAAGTCAAATAAATCTAGATAAAAGATTGGAGTGAGTTTTTGCCTGCTCACACTTTGTTAACTATTTGAAAGGTATATCCTTATGAAACACATTACTGTGAAAAATCTTTAGCTTTGTAAAGCTTATCCAGGGCTCAAGTTTCTATAACACCAATATAGAATAATACAAGCTTAAACAATTACAAAAAAGGGTTTCTTCTGAGATGAAATTCAAACAAAAAACGAAGAAGAAATACAGAGTATTCCACTCATACTTTTTTACATGCATTTAAACAATTAGATAAATAAAACCAAAATTTCTTCATTTTCTTTTTACGTGCAACAACAACTACAGCCACTTAGTTTTTCACTTGACAAAAACACCAGCCCAAGAGATCACTCGCAAATTCAGTAATTCACTGCATGCGACCTACTTGCGAAGAAGAAACACACAAAAAACCACTCAAAACTATAGACCCAAAACTAGAATTTTGAAATTATACTACTATGATTCTGAGTGACAAAAGCCCATTATAAAATAATAACTACAACATCCTACCTAAATGACGGCAAATTCAACAAACCATTTTCCCACAAACTTCAAAAACTTGTTATTTTCTCACCAAATGCTCTTCAATTTTCTAGGCAACCAAACATAAGGCAAGACAAAAAACACTTTATTTTTTTAAAAAAGAAGGATACCTGAGATTCAAGGATTTTGCCAAAGCGACTAAACGCATGCTCAAGCTGTCGCTCCGTGACATCCCATGATAATCCTCCTACAAATATTCGGTTCTCTTCCTTCCCCGCCATCCCTCACATATAATTTCCCTTTTCCTCCTTTAAAGACCTGCAAAATTGAAGCAAATAAAGCAAAAAGATTAATAAAAATAAAGCCTTAGATTGTTTTCTGAGAAACAAATCTGAACTTTCCCAGAAAAAAAAAATTTTCCTTTTGGTTTACCTCCCCTCTGTCAGCTTTGGGGTTGCAGTGAAATTGTGAATTCTATTTTTTTAATTATTTTGGGAGATTTTTATGAGAAACCCTAGTAGTTAGGCACGTGAAAATCTTTGGCTGTGTGGGTGTTGTACGTTCTTGAAATGGGCCTTAGGGTACAATACTTATTTAGCCGATATTGGGCCTCTGCGTCTGGACCGGCCCACCATAGAAGGGATTTGAAAAGAGAAGTATTTGAAATAAAGGGAATTTTTTACCAAAAAAACAACTTAAATTTGAAAGTAATCTTATTTTTTATCCACTAAAAATAATGATTAAATTCATGCTTTAAACATATTTTTAGCTAATCTATGATTAAATTAGTAGATTATGGTAACTAAACTAATATGTTCATCGAATAATAATAATAACCAATTTCGAGTTAAACTCGTTTATGTTCATTTAATAAGATAAAAAGATCAATTTCAATTAAATTTAAGATTTATTTTATAGAAGAGCCGAGTTTGGGTGTACATGTGTCAGGTTTGTTAATGATCACGAATCAACTCGTTTATTATCTATTTATAAAATTGTTTATAAATCTTGTAAGAACTTGTTTAAAGCAAGCTTGTTTATTGTTCTGTTAAAATAAAATAATAATTTTTTTATATAAACTAGGAGGTTATGATTCACAGTTTCATTGAGAAAGAAATGATAATAAATGGCATTATAATATTATAAAAGGTAAAATAATTATAAAATGAGATACATAATATACATAACTGTACAAGAATTGGTACATGTATCAATCAATGATTGAAATATGTTACAGTTGGAGACTTTGTTAAATTATTCAGGCAGGAGAGGCAGCCTAGTTACACTTGTTCCTCCACTGCTATCGGTCAGAGGCTTCAAGCCAGGTTCATTTTCTACAGTCTTGGTAGTTTTGAGGGATTTAGATGACCGCTTTTTGTTCAATCTCTGAGGAAGAATCTGCAACCTGGGATTAAGCTCAGTTCCTGAGTTTTCTGCAGCCAATTGATAGCTTTTGACAATCTCAAGTTGGCGGGCAATTATTTCGGAACGTCTAGGGAGAAGCTCCACAGGTTCACCACCAGGAATGACAATATACTCGATTGCCAGGCGAACCTCCTACAAGAACATTTATATAAAAAAGAGAGAGATGTTAATTAACAAGAAATTCATGAAGAGTAGATTTGAAGTAAGTTGGATGATGTTTAAGTGGAAATTATTTGATTGAATATAACAGGCACAGAGTTTCAAAATTTTCCAGCATTAGAAAGTTGCAGCATCACTATAAATTAATATAGACATACTACTTATCAATGATAATCGCTAGCATTACTAGTTTAGTACTGATTTCAATAAATATGCATTTTCACCAACAAGTATTCAAGAATAATTGAAGAATTTTGGAACTCTAATGAACAAATAGAACAAGGGAAAGATATTGCACCTCTAAGGCATCAATCTCTTCCAAAGTGGGTTTCCTTTTTGGTGCATCATCTTCAATCTCAATATCAAAAGAATTTTTGTTAGGATGTTTTAGTCTTGAGCCATATGATTCCCTTTCAAGAATCATGCGCACTGCCTTGACCATTTGTGCCATGGTATTCGACTGCAATTCCAAAAAGCAAACTTATATCAATTAAACACATCTTCAGGAGCAGAATGTTTCTTTTTTTTCTTTTATGATTACATTACACATCACCATAAAAGATTGTAGCAGGAAAAAGAAAACAAATACGAAATTCGTTTTTTTAGTGCGATATTTTGTGAACATAGTTATCAGGATACCTTAATGACAAACATTGGCAACTTGTGGAACTTTGCTATTCCACGAATCCATGGATTCTGCTTTATTTCAGAAGCAGATGCTAAAATTGCATCTGCCATCCGAATGTCATCAGTGACATCTATTTCATCTTCAAGTCCCATTACTGTTGCTACTTGTAAGAGATCAGCTTCCAAGATCTAAACGGCACAACCAACCAACAAAAATCATATTAGCACTGCCTTGCACATCAGTTATAGTAAAGCTCCCTGTTGCTTCAGGGGAATTACTGAAAAGTTCTTTGAAGTTCTTGTAAAGGCCAGAAGGGTAACACATTTCATCAAGCTTATCAATCCCACCTCCAATATCCTATAGAGTGATATCCAACAAAACACGAATCATGATCCTTTCCTTTTTTGGGAAAAGTTCTAACACTACTCATAAATTTAGATCAAGCATTTCTCCAAGTATTTCCTTTTCCCTTAGCCCACTTCCCCCCAACCAATTTTTTGCACTGTGGCCTCAAATTAAGATACAGAGTGAAAAAATTATGAAAAAGAAGTATGGAAATTAAAACTTGTATCCTTCACCTTGTAAGTATAAACACATATCGGTGAGATCCTTTTGCTCACAGATTGATTAAGCCTTTGTTTCTTAATAGGATTAGGAAGACTGTCTTCATCTTCATCATCAAAATCTACTTGAGCAGATTTTTCTTTATTAACAGGAAAGTCAGACTGTTCAAGATGGTCAATTTTAAGCATTGGAGTTGACTTGAGAGAAACATTAGCTTCAGCCTCCATCTGCCGGATTTCGAATAAAGCAGATTTTCCTGGCACCCACAAATGTTTCTATTTAAGATATCTGCTTATATAAAAATTTTAATTCAAAAACAGTAGGTGCAAAGAAGGCTTCTATAGAAATAATGTCAGTATACTCTACCAGCCAGTATAGCATCCACTGTGGCATCGAGTCTATGATGAACACGACACTCAGTCCTAGATATCAACTCAACAGCACATGTAAAAGTCGGTGGGCCCTTCCTTTCAAGAATTGTCTTTTGCACTTTCCTCTTCCTTGCTTCCTCATCACCCAGAGTCACACTCTGTTTTCAAATGAAAAAATGACTTGTAATCTAATGAACCTACCGTAAAATGGCATAGACTGGGTGAATTTTACCTATCTACGTCAAATTTACTTGTTCCATAAATTTCCCTACAATATGTTACCCAACAAACAGACTAGAACAAACAATGTAAAATAACCTAAGTGATAAATCCAAAAGGCAAAGTAATCCCACTGGGAGTATATTGAAATCCATACGAATGATACGAAGTGAAGACAAAAGGAGTTGCTTTGCACCTCAATGCCACCAACAAGGATCTGTAGAGAAGGGTTCTTTATTATGTTGTCAATAGTCATTCCATGAGCTGTTCCAACCAGCTGAACTCCTCGTTGAGCAATAGTGCTGGCAGCTAATGCTTCAAGCTCTGTACCAATTTCATCAATTATGATGGTTTCGGGCATATGATTCTCGACTGCCTCAATCATAACCTGCAAGGTAGTTGAACCCAACAACAATTATAGTTAATGAAAACAATTGCCCCAAGCTTAAGGCATTTTGATGTATAGCAATGAGTAAAGCCACACATCACCACTCACATTATGTTGCATGTTAACATTTGGAACTTGCATTCTCCTTGCACGCCCTATTCCGTCATGGGGGACATCTCCATCACCTCCAATCTCATTTGATGTATCTACAATCACAACACGTTTCATGTGTTCATCTGCCAACATTCTAGCTATTTCTCTGCAAAAAGAAAGATTCTTCAGACACCAAAATCCTGTACCAAATAAAACTAATATAGTTTTTAGTCAAATCTCATAATGGGATAACAGAAAGGATTGAACCCAATAAACTGCTTTCAAGAACTTTCAGGAAACTCAACTAGTCGGTTATAGTGACGCAAGATAAGACAATATTAAGATTAAAAGACTTTAAATTGAATCCACAGTCAAAATAGAAAATAAATGAAACAAAATAGTATTGAAAGAGGAGTTATCTCATCTTAACACATTGTAAACCTAAGCAAAAGAAAAAGACATGTTTTCATGAAAATTTAAAATTAACGTTATTTTAAAAGCTGAAGAGAACATTTCACAATAATTGTTTACACAACATATGATATTGAGCAACGGAGAAGACTTCAGAGGAACTTCAGCTCAGTAGATTGATTTTTAAAACATTACATAGGTAAGTACCTGATTAAGGTTGTTTTACCAACTCCAGGGGGACCTATGACCAAGATGGAACCTCCTCCCTCAACCAAGTCCTGTATAATCTCAGCACTTCCAGACACAGCACGACCCACCCGACAAGTGAGGCCAATTATTTGCAATTTACGGTTCCTAATAGCACTTATGCGATGCAAAGATCTATCGATACCCGAACGATTGTCATCCGAAAAGTCACCAACCTAGAACAAAATAAGGAACTTCACTTCACTTACTTGCCAAAAGAAGCAACCTCACTTTAAAAAGAACTCATTCAATCCGGCCACCCACAAGAATCCCAGTTCCAACAATACTATTAATATTTATATGCCAATTTTGTTATCATCATACAAAAGATGCTGACCATGTTTGCAACATATAGAAAAAGTGACTGGATCTCTACTTGTTCATAACAGAGCAAAGCTAAACAAAACTACATCAGAAAAGTAAACTATACTGAAAAGATAGTAGATGCTGTCTCGCTCCACCCTGCGCCTAAACAAATGAATAAATAAAGGAAAAATGTAAAAGAGGATGACTCAGTTCCTTAACTAATACTAAAATACGTTCATGGTCTCAATCTTCCTATGCCTAAACATTTAAACTTGCAACAACAACACAATTTGTAGCATAACAGAAACCAAGAGTAACCACCCATTAAAATTACCTTAGATATTGCATGGCTTAAATCTTCATGCTTAACAGGCTGTTCCGAAATAACCCAATCTCCAGAAGGAAACCTAGCGAGAGGCTTCCTCCCCAAATCCAAAACCACCTCAATCAACTCCCCAATCTCTTCATGCCCACAAAGCTCTCTCCTCATCCTCAACGGCAACATTTCGACGAACAGCTCCAGCTCCGTACGGGCCTCCACCCGGGAAGTCGAAGTAGAAGTCGAAGCCGGGTTCGGGTAATCCAAAGACGAACCATTCGAGAACGTGGTCCGTTCAGACGGTTTCCGGATTTGTGGGGTCCGAAGAACCGACGGCTGAGATTGCTTTATAGATGCCGCAGCTGCTCCTCGATGAGCTCCACGAGTCCTCGTTATGAAGTGGGAATGCTTTTGGCGTTGGTGCCATGACGTGGCGTTGTTGGTGATGTCAATTAGAACAAACCTCGAATTCAAAGCTCTCATTTCCCTTTTTCCTTTTAAAGTATATTTTTCTCTGCGGTTTTTCTTTTCGTTTTACAAGCTGGAGGGAGGAAACAGGAGAAGAAGAAAGAAGATATGGGAGGGTAACCGGTTAGGAGAAAGGAGAAGATTCGGAGGGATCTCCTCTGGGATTGGAGGGAAAGTGGGACCCAAACGGCAAAGATGGACGGTAACGACCGCGGAAGTCAGGAGGTTGGCTCTGGTAACAGGCCACGTGGGGGAGGTTTGGATTTTGGACCACATACGTTTTTGTTTGGAAGAGAGAAAAACAGATGCTTTTGTTTGTGTTGCTTCATTCGTGGAACTCTTTACAAGAAGACTCTTCCCAGTTTCTCTTCAACCAGTTCAAAGTCAGCTTAACGTCCCCAACTTTGTCTGGGCATCAAATTTGACTTGTTTTTTTATTTGCAACATGTAGAGGACGAGTAAGTTTTGATTTTTTATTTCCTTTTCTCACGTGACGAAATTTTAAATCAATTTTATACTATTTTAAATTGTAAAATACGTCACTTATTAAAATTATTAAATTTAAATTAAATAATAAAAAATAAACTCTCTCTCATCTCAAAATTTTAAATTTTTAAAACAAAGTTTCAAGTTCTCAAGTTTTGACTAGTTCCGTTCACATTTAAATGATGAAAGCAATATTTATTTCTACTATTACAATTGAGTCAAATGTTCCTGAAAGAAATAATTATTATTGATCTCGAACCGTGATGGAAGGCAAAATTTAATAAGACCTTACATCTCAAAAGCTTTAAATTTTCATAATATATTTTTATTTTTTAAAATATTTATAATTTTAACTTTATAAAAATTAAACTAAACATAAAATCTTGACTCCGGAATAACCATTGCACCCAATCATTTTTCCTGAGTTTATTCTTATTTATTATGGAGCAAGTTAAGATTATGTCGGATTGAAATGACTTGGGCACGGCCTGGTACTTCCTTCTACGCTAGTTTGGATGCTCAATGTCTGTTCAAAGTGCTCATCAGGCGATTCTCAAAGGAAGAGCAGTTACGCTTAACACAAACTAAACCCCGAAGCTTTAACTGCTCAGTGATTGCTTCATAGGCAATGCAGAGTGGGGGAAACAGAACATCTTTATCATCTTTCTTTCCCTTTTTTTGGAAGGAAAACATCTTGTTTTCGTTTTCTTTTAAGGCAACTTTACAATTTACATTTTCGTATCTACTTAGTTCCTAGCTTTTAGCAGGGACTCAACAAGACTAAAAAACATGTGCTGTACAGTGACCGTGAAGATCTTTAGGCGCCAAGGCAGATTTAGTTACCTTAATCTATTCCCAACCCATTAATATTTTCCTCACACCCTCTTCGATCTTATTCCTTGGCACCGGATAACCATCTCCTTCATCAAGTAGGATCCTGTACACTTCCCATTCACGGTCATGGATCATGTGTCTCCCTATCTCAACCTGAGAAAACCAAAAGTTAAAACAGAATTGTGATTAGAACCTGGAACCAGCATTCATTTATGACACTCATTAATGGATAGTGGTTAATACCGAAAAGATCTGGGTGTTAAGATTCTTAAGAGCAAGGGTAATGTCATGAAAAACAAGAGGCCGGCCTCTGCCAGACAATTCAACAGGGTTTGCCACCAGCAATTCAGTGTCAGGGCCCCGGCTCACCACAGCCAGTCTGAGAGGACGCCATACTTCCATCCTCAGACGAGAGCATAATGCATTTTGCTTATTGCGGTCAACGATTTTCTTGCCATCAGCTTGCACAATGAACAAGTCCATCTCACATCCACCTTTTTGGTTTGCAAAGAATCGTCCGTAAGAAACCTGACATGGAATAATTAATTTGTAAATGGAGCATGTATAGGAAGGCAATCAGGGAGAGAAGCCAAGCGCCATAGTTTTGGAACCTTTTGCAGTTATGACAAAACTCTTTATGACCAAGTTCTTTGCTTCTCAGACAGAGTTTAAGAAGGTATTATGCAATTTTAAAGCACAAACTGTCAAAATTGGGAGGAATGGACCATTTAAATATCATGAATTTCCTTGTTCAGATTTAACCATAGCAAGCAAATACAAAGTACTCTACATTAATGCTAAAAAAAAAATCCCATTCAATAAAATGGTTAATAGTTTAAGATATGTACCTGGATATTATAGTCCTTCAGGGTTCTCATGATATCATATATTAGACCTTTGTGGTCATGGCAGAGGACTTGAATAAGTGTGTGGGAGGGACTAAGGGTGTTGTCCACAGTAATTGATATGGGGTTTGAAGCAAGTAACCCACAGGGATATCGTGCAGGCAGCTCTAAACTGAACATGTCTTCTGTGATTGCAGAAGGAAGAAATGAAGTGCCTTGTGCACGTGCAGTTATTTCTGGGCCAGCTGATTCAATCTCACAACTTTCCAATATATCACCTAGTGCAGTTTTCAAGTGAAGAATTGTTTGACCCTGTCGTTCTTTTGTATGGAGAAGTTCCCTAAATTATAAAAAGAAGGGGGAAAATCTCAGTTATACAAACATATAAATAACCTCCCCCCCTCTGTCTCACATATTGCATGTGCTTGCAGCTATGTTAAATTGTTTGGCCATAACATACACAAGCGCCTGCAACATCAAGCACACACACCCAAATATACATCAAGAAGCAGCAAAAACATGCATTGCCCCAGAAAATTAACATAATGGCACAAGTTTCCACAACCTTCTTTTCTTTTTTGATATTAAAACACACTCACACTCCATCACAATGTGCTCGGCAAAGAGGTTCTCTCTCTTCCATTTGATATAAATTATTTTCCTCTTAAAGTCAGATAAATTACATAAAAGGGAATTTTTTTTATTATCTCAAAAGTCCTACATGTAGGTCCAAAATACTAATTAAGAATCAAACTTCTTTTTTCTAACACTTCAAAAATCATCAATTTAAGGATCATATGTAATGGACTGTGAAAAGTTCCATCAAATTTAATGAAAAAAGATCAATTATAACTAAGGGATACAGTCATATGACAACCTCAGGCATATAAAGCAGTGGTGAAACCAGATACAGTGCTCTGATGTGTCTCCTTTTAGAAAACCACCACTCAACAAACATCACTTTAAACAGATAGCATATCTGCTCTCTTAAGAAATCACATCATTTTAGAAACTAGTAGAAGTAGAACATTCCCTTTGAAGAGATCGGTTTGCTTTTGTGTTTAGTCAAAAGCAATGATTCACAAGGAAAGGCAACTAGAGTTTAATTATGCTTAAATTAATCCAAATTCTAACTCCAATTACGTTGCTATACTCTTAAAATTCTGAGGGACTTCATAGAAACTGGTAAACCCAGCAGTTTCATGATGCAGTCAAATTATAAAGGAAATTCTTGGCACAATGGTGCATCCTATCATTCGCTTATTTTAACAAAAGTATTAGTAACATAGTATACTGACTCCAAAAATTTTCTTTCGGAACTTATCTGAAGCAGCTGCAAAATAATAGTATGATATTTTGGTGGGAAATAATAATGGCATATGTTGATGAAACAAAGGACTACTCTACATATGCCATTGAGTCTCAAAGTAATTTCCTGATTACCTTATCTCAGAGAAAATTGATACAAAAACAGGTTAAATTTTTTCTACGCTAGATCCACTATGTTAACCTTAACAGCCTTCCCCTCTTCCACATGCAAAGCACATGCCATTTTCCGTAGTACTTCATCTTCTGGTCAGCTGATGCTGGTTGTGCAGAATCCATTTTGAAAAATTCACACTCTTAATATTCCAAATACTTTACTCATGTTTGCCTATATGTACTAAACGATCAAACAGGTCTAAAAGAACTGAGCAACACTGAAAAAGAAGATCAACTCCAGCTTTCAAGTTAGACAAAACTTCTCAACACTGACAAACCTGGTATCAGTGATAAAAAAGAGGTCCATCACTTTTCCATCTGGAGTAGTGGATACCTTCACTTTCTTTATTGTAAGCTCCAGCTCAAAAAGGACCCGAGTTACATCTACCAAAACAGAAAACGCAAATTGATATTAAACTGAAAGACATGGAAACCAATTACCATAAACACAAAAGAACTCTTAATGAATCTCAAAAAGCAACCACACTTAGTTATGGAGCGGCAAGCATAAGCAATTAAACAAGTAAAGCAATTAACTTATTTAAAATAAACTTAAAAGAAAAAAAAAACAAACAGCAGATGGTAGAGGAGATGTGTTGTCTTTATGAACCTCCATGCTTAAAAGAGCAAACAAATTACTTGGCTATGACGGGTAGTTCATTAAGAAGAAAAGACTTGGCAATCTAGATACTCATAATGTTTTCATTTGAGAGGCTGCTTGTTTTACAGAAGTGTTAATAGTAAAACCTGTTTCGCTTCAAAAAAAAAATGCACACGTGTCTTTTTGACAAGTGATGTCCTTCTAAACAAGCTCACATGTATTTTTTGATACCTGTTTTCTTTCTTAAAATGCTTGTACTTTAAGAAAGGCTCCAATTTCCTTTCACAAGACAATTTCTAAATTCCATAATGCTCCAAATGAAGAACCTTAAAATTCTTATCCTAATTTTCCTTTATCTCCTCCAATCCAGACAAGATTCATACAAAAGTTTTACTTTTTAATACCTATTCATCAGAACTCATGCAATTCTCATTTTTTTCCATGCCTTTGGGTTTTCTAACACCTTGAATAACACTATTTAACCCCTAAAATCTAAGTCCCAAGGAAAAATAAAACCTAAAAAAAAAGGAAAAAGGTCCTTCCCAAAGGTATTTGATTCTCATGGACATATTTCCAGTTAATAAACAATTTCAAAAGTTATCCAACTCAATTTAATAAAGTTATTTTTCTTAATTGCAGCACAGCTGGATTAGCTGCAAAAATCCTTCTGCTCTATCATGCACCTACAAGAGAGGACAAAACCTCACTTTAAATCTTAAGCAATTAGCCAAAACAATATTCAATTCTCATGATAGTTTGAAAATGAAAAACAGTATAACAATTGAATGAGAGATGGCTAACCGATTGCCAATCTAGCATCACATTTTCTCTAAAAGATTAAATTTGAAGAGAAGAAAGTTCACCATTTAATAGGCCTTTCCTATCACAAGAACACCAAAACTTTAGAAGAAACACATCCAATGGCTTCGGCTGCTGGTTCGCAGGCTGGTAATAGTCAATTCCAGATGTCGAAAAATAGGATGGACAGACTTCCAATAGCCTTTCTTCCAACAAATCCCACCTTGTGTTTGTTTTACCAACCACCCAAAGCACTACGTAGCACCATTTCCCATCCGTTGAAAAATCTTATCCACAAAAAAATATGCAATCACTAATTGACTTACACTTCCAGAATTCTTTGTACCATCAACAAAGAAAAAGGAAAAAATTGAAAAAGATAATAACAATAATAGAGTAAAAGTAAATGAATGGGATATATCATGAGGAACATGATCAATCAAGTGATTTTGCTTGCTCAATAAAGTGTAGATATCTATATATTAAACCAAACAAATAGTAACCAATTTGATTCTCTGTTCATATCCCCAAAAGAATTACAAAAATAAAAATTAAAAAAAAAACAAAGGACTAATGTTCATCCAGTTATAACTTCCTATGAGGATTTTTAAAAAAAAAAGTGAAAAAAGAAAAAAAGAAAATCACAATGACCCATTTTTTTTTTTTTTGGCTACAACTCCAAAACACACCAAAAAAAAGCCCAAAAAGAAAAGAGTTGAATGAAGCTTACCTCCTCTAGCAATGCTTAAGCCAAAAAGCAAAATAATCCTACACAAATCACAGCCTAACCCAGTCTTATCCGGGCAATTCACCGATATCACAGTGGAATCCTCTGCCTTCTCAGCTGGACTGATCACTATAACATCTTCTCTCAAAATGCCCATCTTTCTCTTTTCTTTGACTATCTCTCCACCCTGCTCTCTTGCTCTGTTTTTGCTCTGTTTCTTCTTATACCTGGTAGCTCCAAAGAGATGGGTTTTTTCCCCTTTGTCTCTCTCTCACTCTCTCTCCAAAGTTTTCTCTTTTTATCCTTTGCTTTTTTATTTATGTTGTTGTTCAGTTTTGCGGCAAATGGATTGGAGTTCCCGTCAAAGACAGTGAACAGAAACAAAACACAAGACAGAACTCGGAGACAAAAGAGATTTTCTCTTTTTCTTTATCTCCGCATGGGATTTTCAATTTCTCGTCCCCATTTTTGAAGTATTTATTTACTGTAGGGAGTTGAGACTGAGAAAAGATATGGAAAATTTTCCTTTCCCTTTTTGTCCTTCGCGAGTTTAAAACGCGAGGGTTTTTTTATTTTAATTAATCAAGTGAGATATGCTAAGCTGCATCTCTCCACGTGGCATTTTTTTATTGGATACTGAATAATGAATGTCAATGCAACTTCTTCCAACTTTAAGATTCATTTTTCCGGTCCATAATTAGAAAAAATGAAAAAAAGGTTTGTAAGACAGTCTGTCTCATAAACATTACTTTATTTCACAAGATTTAGACATGAAATTTACATGTTAAAATATCAAAATGTAACTAAATGAATTAAAATGTCTTTATGAGATATTAATTACAATTTATAACTAGCAATCAAGATTATTCTTACACTATATAAGGTAATAACAATGGATATATTTAGAAGGAAATAAATGTAATTAATTTAGTCCAAAAATATATATATATTGAAAAAAAAATTAAAGGTGTATTCACTCAAATCAAATACATTAATATAAAAACATGTAACACTAAATTAGACTATCGACATATCATATGCAATTTACATATAACTATTTCCTTTCTCGTGGAGGTTTTGTTTTTTATATATTTATATTAGATTATAGCATTGCTAATTATGAGAATTTTTTATAAATTATTAGAATATACACTTTTTCCAAAATAGACAGTTGCTTTATTAAAAGAGAAAAAAGAAAGAAAGATATGTAAGCTAAAAACATTAACTTTTTTTTTTAAGGAAAAAGACCATATTTGAAGGAAATCTTTCAAAAGTAATATTTTTGGTAAGACAAGTCAAAGACAAGGCTAATAGGATAGAATCCTTGTGCTTGTGGTTGTGCTACCATTCTCAAGAATGAGAGTTTTTTGCTTTGGGTTGGTGGTTGGGTGATGGTAGGTGGTAATATTTTGCTTTGATTGGGTTGTCTTTTGAACATGCATAAAATTAAAATGTATTTTATGGAGTAGCTTTCTTGCTTTTCCTTCCATTGTAATCCTTTCTTTCTTTTCAATATCAACTACTACTACTTTGTACTCTTAATGCTCTTTATTTTCTTTTGTCTTTTTCTCCATCTTGTAACGTTCAAACTCAGTTACTACCAATTTTTTATTTCCACAGCTGCTCACTTTTGTTTCTTCTTTATGGAATAAATAGAAAAGAATATAAAGGTGGAAATGGTTTTGCATTTAATTGGATTTAGTTCCAATAATAAAGAAAGAACAAAGTTTTAGAATAATTGTGATTTTCATGAGTATATTTTCTTATGGATAAGGAAAAACTTAATCATGTTTAACTTTTTTCCATCCAATAAACTCCTTTCTTATACTTCTTTTATTCGATAGATGTTGGTATATTTTCAAAATCAAAAGTTATATAACATAATGAAAAGCTATCTTAACTCAAAGGTTATGTCGTATAAAGTGACTTAATGTAAATATTAGATTATAAGTAGATTTTTCATATGAATGGTTATATCTCTTAATAAAATAACATGTTAAAAAAACACCTTTAAATCTAAAGGTTATGAAACAAATTGAAAAAACACCACAACTCAAAAATTTAAATATGAAAAATTATTGTTTCAAATTGTAGCTTAAAGATTATGCTTTATAAAATGAATGGTTGTCTTTTTATAAGGTGATTATTGAAACAATACTCTTATCCAAAGGTTGTGTCTTACAAAAGGTAAAGATATCTTTTAGATTAAGTGGTGCTTTGATGAATGGGTTATGTCTTTGAAAAAGAGATACTTGTAAGCCTATGTAAAAGGCTTGTGGTTAACCATTTTGACATATCAAATTAAAAATAAACAAGACAAAGATTAGAAAATTCAAGAAGTAATAGAAGTGTCATGTTCTGCAAATAAATATAAACATTTGACTTTCAATCATTTATCAAAGGAATCCTTATAATTTACTTGTTACAAAAAGTAAGTTCAAAGGCCAAACAACTTTGCAATCCCTTAGGTGTATTTAGTGGTCTACTCTCATAGAGTGCAAAGACAAAGTTAGATGTTAGCTTCATTTTATTCCTAAGGCTATTCGCATAAATCCTCTTTTATATACCGATTAAAGGGGGTGAAATAAGTCTTAAAGTTAGCATCTGTTACCGCTGGCCATGAAGTTAAGTTTGTCGGTTTTTTGAATTCCATCTAAACCCCATATACATCAATAATAAAGGATTCTTCAACTAAAAGGAGTGGAAGTGTTGCAACAAGTGAGATGCTCTAAAGACGACAAAAAGAAAGATTGAAGCAATCCTTAAAGTGTTAGATGCTTTCTAATCGAAGGTGAGGAATACAAAATAGAGAGCAAGTAAAGAAGGCGTAATGGCCAAGCATGATGGAAAATATGATGGAAAGAACTAAGTAAGAAGAGTATCTAGGAGAAAGTATTTTGATCAATTTATAATCCTTTACTAAATTGTTAAGCTCTTATATATATATATATATATATTCACCAAATAAGAACATTTTCCTAGAAGCAGTTGGTAGAAAGTGCTTATTAAATAAATGAGAGGAGCACATTTACATAAAAATCACTTTTTATAGAAAAATATGTTCATGATGCAAGTTCTTTATTGAAAAAATGACTTGTTGGATGAGCACGTTATCCGATTATGTATATTAGTAGGACACGAATGTTTTGTTGGACATATAGTAGTATTTCATAATGTTTCAATATTTTATAACTATCTTAATTTGGTGCAATATTCACTTTAATTTAACTTTGAATCCCCTAATTTGGTACAATTTTCACTTCAACTTTCAGCCAACAAATACCAATCTTTACCTCAGTTCACAACACACCTCTTGCTTTTCTCTATTTTCTACTTCTTTTGCCTTCCTTTTCTTTACTTTCTACTATTATTGGGTCCTTTCTAATTTTATTTTTGTTGTTCCCTAGTATCCTTGATTTGTTTGCATTTCTCTATTTTATGCTTTCTTTACTTTCCTTTTCTCTACTTTCTTGCTTTTGCTGGGTTCTTTCTAATGTTATTTTTGTTGTTCCTAATATCCTTGATAGTTTGTGCAAACTAATCAGAAAGAGTGTTGGATCTTGGGGATAATGCTACAATCTTTTATACTGAGTTTAATACTCAGAAGGGGAGAAAATATCCTTAAAGACAATGTTCCATGCCTCAAACTTCCTTGAATTAGTTTTGTACTTCAGCATTTTTCCAACAATCTAAAGAATAATGGATTCTTACGTTGATAATGCTATGGCTGTTGTCATTTCTATCATTAATGCTTCCACCATTGTAAACGCTGTCAATTTGGTCTACAACAAAATCTAGCATTGTCAACAAAGGTACAATAATAAAAAACCTAATTATAAACCCAAAGATACTCATTCCATCTTCACAATGCATGAAAAGAGCTATGGGAAATGACGGACCTACTAATCCAATAGTTAACTTAGTTGAAGCAGATAAATCCAATAACATAATTGCTACAGTCATTTCTCAATCTAATATGGTAGCCAGTGCGAAAGAATAGGTAGTAGACTCAAGTGTTAACAAGCATATTTATGAAAACAAAAATGCATTTACCCCCAATACTATAATAGGAGAATGAGAAAAGATAATATATCTTGATGATTCTCAAATTACTGTAGTTCTTGATAGAGGAAAATTCATTTTCAAGCTTACATCTAGCAAGACCCTAGTTCTGAATGATGTTTTGCATGTTTCTAATATAAGGGCAAATCTAGTTTCTATAGCTTTATTAGACAAGGTTATAATGAAAGTATCATTTGAATTTGACAAGATCGTAATGACAAAAAATAATGTGTTTGTGGGTAAAAGATATTGTAATCATAGACTTTTTGTATTTAACATTGCAAATGTTATGAATGAAATTGCTAGTTTTTTTACTTACATGATTGACATAATTGATTTAGTAAATGTGTAACATGTGTTGAAACAAAATTGACTAAAAAAACTTGTATTTCAGTAAATAGAGAATTTAAAATGTTAAGTTTAATTCATACTAATTTAGGAGATTTGAAACAAACTATAATTAGAGGTAGTAAGTAATATTGTGTTACATTTATTGACGACTACTCTAAATTTATTAAAGTTTATTTACTTAGGTATAAAGATGAAGCCATTGACATATTTTTCAAGTATAAAGCTGAGATAGAAAATCAACTAAATTAAAAGATAAAAAGAGTTAGATTAGATAAAGAAGCTAAATATATACCAATTAACAATATATGTGAAAAGGAAGGAATAATTTAAGAAATTACTCTTTTATATTCCCTTAAATCAAATGGTGTAACTTAAAAAACAAAATAGAACATTAAAAGAAATGATGAATTATATGCTTGTTAGTTTTAATGCATATGAAAATTTACAAGGTGACATTCTATTATCTACATGTCATATTTAAAATAGAATTCCTTATAAGAAAATTGGTAAAACTCTTTATGAATTTTGGAAAGGCTATTCTCTTAACTTAAAATATTTAAAAGTGCAAAGGTGTTTTACTGAGATTATGCTTCTTGATTCTAAGAAAAAAAAATAGCTCTAAGATGTTTGATGGCATATTTATTAGTTATACAGAACATAGTGCTGCATATAGATTTTTTGTATTAAAAAATGATGTTCTGGATAATAATACAATTGTTGAAAAAAAAATACTAAATTTTTTAAGCATATTTTTCCTTTGAGAACTAATGTAATTTCGCATGCAGATTTTAGTAAAAATAATTTTCAAATACAAAATGATAATTTGAGAAAGAGTAAAAGACCAAGGAAAGAAATTACTTTTGGTAATAATTTTTTCACTTATCTTGTAGATAATGATCTTTTAACTTATGTTAATGTAATTTCTTTTGAAAAAAT